GCAAGGAATCCCGCTGCAACACCACCAATATCACCCGCCAACACCGATTGCTGCTAAGTAAAAGGTATTCAAGTTGAGTTGAGTTTAGTGAAGCCAAATGGAATCGAGTTAAGGTAATGGAATGTCAAGTTGTTGTGGCATTTTCGAAGGGGATTTGAATTTATTTCATGCAGCGTTGCTGTTCCACTTGCGTAAGTTTCATATACATATATATATACTTGAATATGAATATGTATATATATACAAATGCATAGTAAAGTTGCTATTTATGCTGATTCGTTTCACGTTGGTCTGAGTGCTTTAGCAATGCGTTTGGAATTGGGTTAATTTGCAGTTAAAGTAAAATAAATTTGCAGTAAAGAAGACATTTGGTAAGATGTGCCATTTTAGATAAACCAGAAATGGACAGAATTCGATATTTGTATTGAACAGTTGGATTACTGATATTTGAATGGTTTCGCTTACAGTCGCCTTGATAAAACTAAGTAAAATTACAGTTAGATGATTTTGTTAGAGAAAAAGTTTCTTAGTAAACGAAGATTGACATTAGCGCAGTATTTTTAATGCAAAACTCTGAAAACTCGCCGTTGACGACTTACATAAACACTACGATAACACATGTAAATATTTAGGTATATTCTCCCAGTTGGACGATTTTGTTTACACCTTAAGAAGCTTAATGAAGTTTTAAGTTTCTGTGGGGGGTTTTTTAGGTCTAACACCAAACGCCTAAATGTATGCTATGCACTGTTGCCTGTGCTAAATTTCTTTTGCATTTCTCAATTGTCATATAATAAAACTTGTTGAAGTATTATTCTTCCGGATAATGCTTTCGGGGTTTTTTTCTGACTCTGCGCGGCTTAGAACCATGCGTATATATTTATTGATGGTTACCATTGGTCACAGTGCTTATCCACTACTTTTTGGTTCAATAAATATATATATTTTTTTTTATATAAATACATGCAAATATACTGGGCTTCCCTCTCGCTGAGTTATTCATTTTTAAATCGGGAATTCCAGGCGATGCTTTAAGAACTAAGTATTATGTTGAGTCTGAAAAATAAGTATTCTTTTTTTTGCGTTTTGGTTATAATAAGCATGAAATTTTTACATGATACATAGTGAACATGAGTGCTGTTCTTTAGTAAGTTGTAATAAATTAATACATTAACAACAATAAAGCTGAAAAAGCGAAAAAATTACATTCTTTTATGCAAATAGAGAAAAGTAATTGCAAAAATTATAACTTCAAGAGACTTGCACAGCTTTTCAAGATACACCTTAAGACGATTTCAATTTCTTTCTTGTTTTAGTTAGTACCAAGATCTCACAGTGGGCATTTTTTGTTTCTCTATAGCTTGTATGTTTTGGCTATATTTCTTTTTTTTAACAATTCTAGGTTTATATATGACCGATAACAATTTTTAAATACTTATATATATTATTTTATTTTCGAAAGACTATCCATAAAATCCTGGATTCAGGACTTTTTAAAGTTTTGCGTTTTCTGCAGTTGAAAGTGCATCTAATAGCCCATATATGATACGGTCGAAAACTTAGAAATGAAAGAGACATTTTAGCAAGTTGTAGCTAGTTTGCTTTGTTTACAAATTGTTTATTATTATTATTATTCTTATAAAAATATAGCTTACTTAAAAAAAAAAAACAATGTAAATAAAAATTTGTAAAACATTTATAAAAATTTGACGAAACTAACAAATTCTCATCAAAATTTGAAACTGTTTAATGCGATTTTTTATAATATTCTGAGTATGCAGATTTATACCTCATTAAATTTTAATATAGCATAGTTCAAGTTGATTTTTGGCAAATTTCTTGTTCGCTCATTTTCTTCCACACAAAGTATGTTTTCAAAAATTATGAAAGTTTCATGATGATAGATAACTCATACGCCATGGCACGCTAATACTCAGGCAGACAGGCAGGTAATCAAGAGCACGCCTTTTGGCGTTGGTTTCCAAATACGAGAATTATTATTATGATCTAAAAAGAAACTACATATATGTAACTTCGTACCGACGGCAAATCTGCTTGGTTACTTGCCTGCCAGCTTAAATTACTCTCAAGCCATTGCGTATGAGCTATCTATTAACATTTAAAGCATTTTCACCATCTCTGGTTAACTCTGTTCCTATTAACACTAATGCCCAGTGAAACATTGTTATTGACGTTACCGACTCAATGTTATATGAATAATGATATTTAATTGGGGATTAATGTTAACCGGATATGGTGAAAACGGCCCTTAGTCCGGTCGAAATAGAAACGTCAAGTCGCAGTAACTTTTTTAAATTTATTTTTACTCTTCTACGAAAAAAATTAACGCTATCTTAAAAGTGAAATTTTTTTAAGGGTCTATTTAAAAACGTTTAGTAGGCCAAGGAGCTACTCTGGGTCGAGAGAAGCCAAGAAGGGGCATAGTGCTTAAAAATAAATTTTCAATATACACATCTCACTTTGAAATCAAGTCATAAAAAAAAAATAATTGAAGAAATTTCCATTTGGCTACTTTTAGCACTCGCCAAGGACGAATATTTTTACGACTTCAAAATGCTCTCAAAGTGGGGTTCCAAACCAGGAAGCTAATTGCAAATTCTTTTTCGCGACCCAGTCTAGTGTACATACTTTTGATTCGTAATCAAGGAAGAATAAAAATATAAATTTCCTCAATAAAATGAGCCGTTTATTATGAAAGTGGCAGAAGTCACTTCATACTTAAATGGTTGGTTACTTGTAACTGAATACATCTGTCGATGTTTCTATCATCATAAACAAATCACATAACCTTTTACCCTTGGTTGTTGAAGTTGAACGAATAACCGACGCATCCAGATACAAGTAACCAGTTAAGCACATGAGGTATTTTTTATTAGGTAAACTTATCATGTTATAAAAAAAAACTGTTGTATGTTGAATGCCTGAAAACCGGTACTCAGTCGCATACAAACACAATTCTCCGATAATAAACAAGATTCTCGAGAATTTTTAAATGAACTGCCAATAAAAACTAGAAAATCTTGACATTGAAAATGAGTTTTTTAATACAATTGTACGGGTATGATGTTTAAAGAATTTTATTTAGAAAATACTCCTTTGTACTCCTTTGTTATACCCACGTACGAATTGATCTTATTTGAAAATTTAATTGAATAACGATTAGAGGAAATATGTATTTTATGTATATATGAATAAATATATGTACACAATTTTATAATGAATGATTTCCGTTATTTATGTTTACGAACGAAGATAATATTAAATCAAAATTCCGTAAAATCTACCTTAAATATGCGTAAATATATCTACCAGTTTATACCAACCCACGCGCAGACACATTTATTTATAAGTACAGATGTATGTAGCTACACAAGTAAGCGAAATTTGTGCAATCGATGTATGTATGTATGTTTATATACACGCACATACATACATGTCAAATCTAAAAATATATAGTCGTAGATCTCAATGAGAAAATGTGATTTTAAGAAGGTGTGTGCAACTCAAGGACGTACCGGGAATGGCATGTACGAGTATGTAAGCTCAAACGCCCTGTGGTTTAATTTATTACCCACAGTAAAAACGCACAAAACTGCCGCTTTTCATCTTTGATAAAGTTGTGGTTAAGCAGCAAACAGACATACTGACAAGTGAACAAATGTAAATCAATGTATGTGCAAGTGGCGTAATACAGAGTAAAATATGCCTCCGACTTTAGATGTGTATGCAGGTATACATATACATATAAGTACGGTGACCATCCGTCCTGTATTATACAAATATCCGACTTTGTGCAAAAAATGAAAATTAATTCTGCAAAGTTTCACCAAAATTTCGCATTTTTTGTTGCACATTAAAATGAGTAAAATAAAGTGCAACGTGCTGCTCATTTGCTTCCCTATACAAAAAATTTTGGAACATACATACCAACCAAAAAACAAAATTCCCAAAAATTAACGATTAGTCCTAGCTACTTCAAACTTACACTTTACTATATTAAAATTTAAAGAGTTTTTTGTAAAAAATGATGTGGGGTAAAAAGCTCAAAAAACGTATCCTACAAATGTGTGATGCTAACTACAATGATGCTGTTTCAAGGCTAATACTTTTAGGATCGTTTAAAATGGTGTTAAGATCTTTAGCTTTTGTGGAAAAGATTCGCAAAATTATTTTTTTCCCATATTCGGCTCTCATAAATATGGTCACCATACATATAAGCGTACATCTGTACATATATGTGTGTGTATGCTTGTATAAACTTGAGCGGCTAAAAGTAGGTGCCAAAAAATCCAAGAAACAACGCAAACATGCTGCTCATATCTCCTTTAGTCGAGAAAAACGTTTGGTAACTATACAGGGTATACTACATACATATAATACCTGTGTGCATGTGTGTGGGTTGCCGGATAAAGCTCACTTGCCATTAGCAGACAACCGTAAGGAAATGGGACGCCAGCGAAAAAAATTAACATAATTTGTGATGTGCGTGAGCGCAAATACGTCTGGATACACATACGTATATATGTACATATGTATGTAAGTGCTTGCTATATATACCCTATAGAGAAAATATGAGATAAAAATATGAAATTCCTAATTCAGTTTCATTGAACTCTTTTAGTTTCTATTTTTTTATAGTTTTTTTGGCTTTAGTCTT